GTTTGGCCTTGTTCTACTGATGACTTTATGAATTGATACCAAAAACTGTACAATAGACAATATAAATATTAATGTGACATCCAAAACAAAATTTGCATTCTAGACGGGCTCTAGGCGATATCAATTTTGTAAAATATGCTAACAAAAAAGGTTGTGTAAACAAGGCTCAACATTTCAGGTTGATGCCCGCGCGAAGCTCGTCTTCGCGAACCTCAAACATGACCTGCACGCCGACGAAAAGTACTACACAGCAGGAAATCATGTACGCCACCCCAGAGTATGAGCCGGTTAGACTGGCAAGCAGATCCTTTAATCCATCTATACCCAACGCAAATCCGACCAAGTTTGCGATGATCATCATAAGAACGTTCCCAACGGAGCCAATGCCACAAATGACACGGTACGTAGTGGGATGAGAGCGCCAGCGATGGGCCGGGAAAAAGATGCCGCCCAAAACTTCCGGTAGAACAAAGAGAGTAACGAGCCACCCCCACATGAGCAAGCGGAGGTTGATATCGTGCCACAAGGCGACGAAGGTGAAGACCAGCAGGAAGTTGCGGATTTGCAGGAGCTTGCCCATGAAGTTGGACTTGGGAGGTGAAGATGGTTTGGGTGCTCCAGCTGGCCGCCGTCCGCTGCCACCACCGCCCAGGGGGATGTAGATGTAGCGGACGATCCAGCGGTTGTAGGAGCGGTGCCAGCCACGCCAAAACGCCAAGGCGGAGTAGTTGTTGGACATGCAGCGGACCATGTTCTCTGGTGGGTCAATTCCGTCTATGAGGGCCCAGAGACGGAAGCATCGCCAGGGGATGAGGAGTTTCAGCCAGATTATGTGCAGGTTGAAGAAGGCGAGCATACTCAGTTGCCCCGGGGTGAAGACAGACCAGTCTGGGTCAGCCTTGGAGATTGCTACCGCATAAATATAGTGGAGGATAAGCTCCATGCAGAGCATAGTGAGACCAACGCGAACGGCGTACATTATGATGCGAGCTCGAGTGACTGACGCCGCAGTGTATCGCTGTTGAGATACATAGTCATTGAATGTCAAGATCGGACCGGCCAGATACAAAGGTGAGTAGAGCATGTAGGCGATGTAGTTGCGGAATGTAAAAGCGGTTGGTTCTGCGGGGATCCTGACCCGGTCACGATCGGAGAGCGTCGTAGGATCTAGTTGCTTCTTCTTGTAGAACTCGGTAAGTTTGATTGTCATATGGGGATTGATGGCTCATCGAACATGGCAAGACTTACTTCAATTGGGCTTGCCGCAGGGTAGTCTACACTCCAGTAGTTGTCCATGTTGAAACTGATGAGGCGCAACACGGTGACCTTGAAAAGGACCTCCCATCGCGGCATCAGACCCCCAAGATCATCTAGAGTCTGACCCCATTGTACTAGCGCATTGGCGCCATCTTCTGACATCCCAGACCCCGGAGCAAACACCTTCGCTATCCGCGCAAGGGAGTAACCACCGCTTAGTTCGTTGGAAAACAAGATGCCGAGGTTGAAGATCCATGTGGCGGCAGGCACGTAGGTGCGAGGAACATCCTTGCCGATTCGGAAGTTGATATACAGAATTAACAGCACTTTGAAAGCGGATACCCCATGAAGCCCTACGATGAAGACCAGTCCAAACCAAAAGTCGAAGCGCATTCGCTGTTCAAGTTGCGCCTCGCCCGCACCGACCACGGAATTGCTCGATTGTTTTGTTGCAACGTTCGAGCGGTTCACGTACGACTGATAAACACGGCGAACCAAAGGATGGACGATCAGGAGTAGTAGAAGGAAAGGAATATTGTCGCGAAAGCTTTCATATTGTGCATCGGAGTTGTCCTGAGGGCATTGGAGCAATAATGTCAGTCGGAACTAGCATCATGGATATGGATAGCTGCACGCCGAGTGTTTCGCACTTACCACCTGACGGCCAGGGATCCAACCGGGTGATAAAAGGTGAGAGTATGTGGAGTAAGCTGGGTGGCTTTCTGTGACGTTGATCCCCCGGTTAGAATTTCAAGTCCCAGCATTTTCTCTGGCCTGCACTCACTTTTTGAGACATCTATGACAGTCTTGAACATCAACGGGACAAAGATAATAAAGAACAAGTAGTAAACAAAGAATTCTGGTGTGCGCCAAAGTGAGGGTGACGCGCCCTGGGTGATGACATTGGTGCGGGCATCTTTGGAAGGTCGCGTGTTGGTGTGGGCAGGGGTTGCGGAGGAGGTAAAACGAGTGTCAAGGGTGTCTAGCGAGTAGACCCGCCGAAGCCAGGCAAAAATGGAGGGCATTTTATATCGGTAGCATGTCCGGCGCAGGTTTGGAGAAGTTGAAGTCGGAAGACAGTTGAGATTCCAGTGTTTACTCAGGGGCCGAGGGACCGCGTGGCCACATCTGCATGTGTATGTCCTCTCTCGACACGGAACTAATAAGTTTACAATTTAAAATTGAAATCAAATTGTTTTTCATTTTCTATCAAAATAATCGAGGAATTGTCTACGGAGTACCCTTGTGAGGTTGTAGATCATTACGCGGACCCAATCAGCACCAGCCCATATCACATCCAGTACAGCCAAGGCCGAAGTATTCATCTCCTAGTTGATAAGACAGATCTAGTTTCCGATTTTGTGTAGTAAACCTTGCAATGATATAAATGAGGCTTGGGCGCTTGAGGTTAAGTACAACATTCTGTGGGGGCCAACCCCCCGGGGATAGCGTGTAGCTTAAACAACATAGGAAATTGAGTCCCCGAGATTTACAAGTCGAACAGTTACAACTATATATCGATGTGAAACATCAAATTGAAAAAGAAATGGTAAATGGTAAATAGTATATCTTCAAATCAAGGTTTTATCTGTTTATAGCTTTAGCTATCTGAAAAAAAATGATTGCATATCAACACCTAGGTATGTTGGGCCACCCCCCATGTTCTCCAGGGCTTAACATCAACCTTGTACACTTCAACTCTACATCTTCCAACTCTTCAGCTAAACACCACTCTTGATCCAAAATGTCAAACATACGAGTATGTCCTTTAATTTATATCCCATTCAGTCTTATTGCCATACACATCGCTAGCTCGCAGTACACCAAAAGCCACAAGTTTCCCCTGCTAATATCCTATCTACTCCAGGTTGCTTTCAAAGTTCACGGCACCGTTCAAGGTGGGTCACTCTCATGAACAGTTCATACTCTTCAAACACTACTATTCACTCTGTCACTGACATGGACCCCTAGGTGTTGGCTTCCGGTAGGAAATATCCCCTCTCGACAGATGACATCATAGTCCATCAATTAACCAGCGACTACCTATCGGGCATTACAGAGACTTCACCCAGAAATGTGCTAAGCTCGATGAGCTCAAGGGCTGGGTCAGGAATACTACTTGTGGAAGGGTGGGTAATGTCTGTCGTGTCCCCCGGGTGTAGTGCTTACTAGATCTTATTAGGTCGAAGGCGAGGCCCAGGGTAGCGACGAAAAAGTGAAGAAATTCCTCCAGCGTATCGACAAAGGTCCTTCTATGGCTCATGTAGTGAAGCTGGAGAAGCGAGACCTAGATTTGCGTGATGATGAGGAGGGATTTGCCGTGATGCGGACAGCAGAGTCCATGTTTTAATCGGGGAACTAGGAGTTGATTTCTTTTCGCTCTATTGTAATCGATTTTAACACTGGTCGAGGCTATAGCCAGTCGGGTGTCTCTGCTTCATCATGTCGAGAAAGTTCCTTCCTTAATGATTGATCTTAAAAGCTATGATTACTACCTAGCTACATAGTAAAACACCTGAGACATTGTTTTTATTAAAAAGTCAATACCAGTCAGGGCACTCAGAGACTTTCGACCATGTGGGACTATGGTTTCCAGAAATGAATTTCCTGCCATATCAAACAGCTGGAGCCCAATAGCTTGGCTACTGTAGCAAGGACCGACAGGGCCAACAACACCCAAAGCACTGAGATTAGGTTACAAATAGTAAGCCACAGAAAGTGCAGAGAGATGGAGGTGGGAGACATTCATAAATTAGCGAGGCAGAGAGCAGAGTCGATAATAGAAAAGGGCAAATATCAGAACCACCAGCTTTCAACCTTTTGTCGGTTTCTTATTTCCATATATTGAAGGAGGGTATAGGTAGATGGGAAATAGGTAGCCGATGGATATTAAAAAAAAGGGAATCTCGCAGGTGTTGACTCGGTCACTGACACTGACACTTGACAGGCTCTTTATATATGCATCAATCTATTATTATTATAGATCTTCTATGCCGAGAATATACTTGTGGTAAGCATGTGCCTTGTTCGGCGGGAAACGGGCAGACATTTTCTCTTCCAATGACGAACTTGCTCACCGAGATAGAAAATTCAGAATCCCGAAACCAAAAAATGACCTCAAACTCACTCCGGGCTTTGAGAATATTTTTTCGGGATTCATCGTAAACGGCGACAGGCTGAGTCATATAGTGGTTCCCGGCCCCTCCCGAAGTCACCTGCCAGGAGTTGACCCTTTATGTTGTAGGGAGGCAACAATAGTGTTAGTGATATGGAACGTGTGAATATTGTGTAGAGATAATGGGAAGGCTGATGTATTTGCTTCTTGTTCAAGTATTGCAATAGTAACATGATCTTAAGGAATAAGTGATATAATGAGAGGTTGATGGAAGGGGAACATCCAGGTGCCTGGGCAATGAAGTATACGAAATGTCATCATTTTCACCTCACAAGGGACCAACCTACTCATTTCCGGGGGTTTTTCTTTACAGTTTCTTTGGAAATGTCCCTGATCTTATTCGTGTCCCAAGCATTACGAATTCTATATATTTAAGCCTTAAATATCGGGTGAGGTACCTTTTATCTCTCCTCAATCACAACCAAGACCCAGACTTCATCTTAAACTTATTCTATATATTCTCAATCTTTTCCCTTTGCCTCATCATCTTCGTCACCCTCATTCCCTTCGATACCTTCAACATCTTCATCACCTTCAATCGTGACCTACATCAAACTCGGGTTACATCATGAATACTCTATCAGTGAGGGCTCCCTTGCGGGCTGCAACAAAGCCGCAGTACCTGCACCTCGCTGTGCGAACCTACTCGATCGTTGCAGCAACAACACTCAATCCTGCATGTGGCGTCAGCAAGCGCACATTGACATTCAGCCTCACATCCAAACGCTCTATCTCGTCAACACCCCAGAACCAGATCACAGATTATTTCCCACCACCAAAGACTCCCAATGTTAAGGAGGTGCAAACAGCATGGGTTCATCCAGTGTAAGTATATCTGCAGTCCCTTAGTCTGAGCTGGACGCTAACTATATGCCAGGTACACCGAGTCGCAAATGCGAAATATTTGCATTGCTCACAGACAAGCTTCAAATTGGTCTGACTGGGTTGCCCTCGGAACTGTACGCATGTTCCGATGGGGCATGGACACGGCGACAGGATACAGACATCCCAAGCCCGGCCAGGAACTATCGGGCATCTTCAAAATGACCGAGCATAAATGGCTAAATCGGTTTATTTTCTTGGAAAGTGTGGCCGGTGTACCCGGCATGGTGGGCGGCATGCTGCGACATCTCCGTAGTCTTCGCAAGATGAAGCGGGACAATGGATGGTAAGTCAATTGCACAATTGAAGCTCCCAATATTCAATGCTAACACACTTCCTTTGATCTAGGATTGAAACTCTGCTCGAAGAAGCATTCAACGAACGCATGCACCTCCTTACCTTCTTGAAACTGGCCGAACCAGGCTGGTTCATGCGCTTGATGGTTATCGGCGCTCAGGGTGTCTTCTTCAACGGATTCTTCCTGGCATATTTGATCTCCCCACGCATCTGCCACAGATTTGTCGGATACCTTGAGGAGGAGGCTGTCATTACCTACACCCGTGCGATTGAGGAACTTGAGGCCGGCAAGCTCCCGGAGTGGAATGATCTCGATGCACCCGAGATCGCAATCAAATACTGGCAAATGCCAGAGGGTCAGCGCAAGATGAAGGACCTCCTAATGTTTGTCCGCGCCGACGAAGCCAAGCACCGCGAGGTTAATCACACCCTCGCCAACCTCAAGCAGACTTATGATCCCAATCCCTACCAGATTGAGTACACCGATCCGAGCATAGTTCACCCGACGAAGGGCATTGATAACCTGAAGCCGGAGGGTTGGGATCGCAAGGACATCTTTACAATTGAAGCGGGAAGGAAACCTTGAAGCATTCAAAACAAGGAGTTTGTTTTCACAGGCGTTTCAAAAATGGGGGTTAGAAAGCGTTTTTGGTCATTGAATAGCATCTCTTCTCTTTTCCAGCAACATTGAACATTGAAGTTGTTGTATATTATTGTACACACGTGCAATGCACCCCGATGTACCTTCGAAGGAGGTTCGAATGTTCCACGGTTGTCGGGCAGCCATGAAGCCCATCAAACCATGGAACGTGGGGCACAAGCTAAACCCAACCAGGAAATTCAGGAACACCACGTTCAGGGCCTTGGAAGTATACAGAACTTATGTTTATGTAAATAGCTTCATAACTTCCAATCCTCAAGCGCAAAAAAGGGGCCTCACGGGCCCTATTGGTCTATTTTTGGTGGAAAAGGAACACTCATCTCTTTCAACTCCCATGTGGGCAGTTGACCCGCTTCCCCTTTTAGTCCCGTTTAGTCGAAGCCCCCCCTTTTGGCCTAAAAGCAGTTTCTCGCCCGTCGATCCTGTAGGTCTCATTAAACTGTCCTTTCATTAATCCATATATATAAAAGCCGTTGCTCGTCTGTGGATCGCCCAGGCCTCACTGTTAACGTCACTCCCCGCAGAAATATCCGTTACTGTGAACGTGGTGATTGATCTCCACGCGACCCAGATCGAAATTTGGCCCGGTGAAAAAAAGCCCACGCTGAACAATTCAAGTTCAAAAACAAGATGGACGCGCCCCGACGGTCCATGGAGTCTAAGGTGGCACCATTCCGAGCCTCCTCGCCGTCGCCATCTATCCCAGCAACGCCAGCTATCTCCTCATATTCCTCCACAGACCGCACATTTTCCTCCGAGTCCTCCCGCTCCACCTCCTCCGCCACCTCCGCAGATGCCAGGTCGTCTGTGTCAACATCATCCCGTCGCCATGGATATACCCGTGCATTGGGCGCCGAGTTCTCGGAGTCAGCCCGCCATCGCGACAGCGTCATGAGTCTCGGCAGTATCGCTCACCTACAATACTACTTTGCCCGGACCGGCTTACTGGACGGGAAGAGCGGGAGGGGCCGCGAGTGGGAAAAGGGCAAGAAGAACAAGAATAACGTGCCACGAGTCCTGATCACCCCCAATCAACGACACATGGATGACGACATGGTCATGAGCCCGACAGATATGGCAGACCCGGTGGAGGGTGAATTCGAGGACGAGGAGGCAGAGGTGATGCTGCCGCCTACAGTCAGCACATACAGCATCAAAACGCATCATATCCCCCCTCCGCCAGATCTGCTTTTCTTGCGCCGACAGCTTCTACTGGCGCTGGATAAGGCAGAGACTAATATCGAGGCAATTCAAAATGGCGCGGAGCCTCCTCCCCGCCCAATCATCCGGGCGAGTCTTTCTCCGGGTGATATCCCCGAGGATGATCAATCCAGGCAGGTCCTGACCCCGATGAATAAGGAGGAGGCGCAGGGCATGTGCATCCTAGATGATGTTACAAATGCAATTCGCGCAGCCAAGATCTACTATACCTCACACGAGAACTCGGAGCGCTTAGCAACAATAAAGAGCGAACGAGAGATCCGCAAGGAACTTCTCGATGTCCTGGAAGTTCTGAAGCGGTGGGCTGCACGGCATTTTGCCAGCGGTCTGCGCGAGGAGGAACGTGGGCGGATTCAGGGGTGGTTCGTGGCTGTGCGCACCATGATATCCCGCGAGAAAGCGCTAGAAGAGCTTGAAGCCCAAGAGCGGCAGAACTGGGATTGGGCTGCTGGTGATTGGAGAGGTCGTGAGCGCTCACGCGAGGAGTCCTTCCTGCGCAGTCTGTTGCCTGGTGGTGACTCCTTGCCGACTTGGTCGCCGGTTGAGGAAGCTGCCGGTGACTCCCTTCCCACTGCGTTTCTTGATAGGTTCCGGGATGGACGTGCCCTGGTTCAGTTACACAACCTTGCGATCAAGAAGTCGAAACGCCAATTCGGTGAGATCACGGCTTACCACCTTGACATTGCCAAGCCGTACCGGCAGACTGAGAACCTTCAGTTCTGGGTAAAAGCTGCACAACTCCGGTGGGAGCTCCGGCTGGATGTTGATGTTATGGGGGTTGTACAGAATAGTGGCACTACCGCTTGGGAAAAGTTCGATACTGCACTGCTGGCTTGGTGCAAAACTGTTCGTGAAGAGCTGGTGCGCGATTGGCAGGCGGCTAACCCTGGACGACCCCCGAGTGCTGGGTTGATTTGAGGACAATGTTTGAAGTATTAAAGTGTTGGAAGTTCATGTTTGCATCTCGATTGTTTCTTTTTTTTTTTCTCTTTGATATCCTTCTGGGCACTTGATACGATACCCCTGAATTGTCGCCGACTGTTCTGCCCGCCTCTGCATATTTTGGTTTTTTTCTTGATTTCTGGTCTTTTTTGGAATTGTATCTATTGTACATCTCATCACTTGTGTTTCATTCTACAGACGCGTACATGCATCATCATCAGATGGAAGCTTTGATTATCCCCTGGTGTCTTACTGTTGTGTTCAGTCCGCTTTAGGACATAATGGTTGCTGATCCAAATATACAGATAAGGGACTAACTCCCTTGGGAATTAATTTCTAATTAATGCGTCTAGTACGCTGGACGCTGTACTTTGATCTGATCGATAGCCTCGTGCACAAGGTGTACACCGTAAATGTACAATATAGGGTTTGAAGTTGGGTTGATATACTTACAGGCCTAGTGTATTGTACTAGTAGCAGAAACAGTGAATACCAACTAAAACCATTGAAATAATTGAATAAAGAAGACAAAAAGAAACCAAAAAGAAACCAAAACAAATGTGAAATGATTTCATTTCGCTGATCCCCTTGAATTACATACCAAGGAGGTACATTAGGCCCTATAGTGAGCAGCACGGGGCTGGAGGTACCCCATTCCGCAGAATAAACGGCCCATACTGGCCACTGTATCCCTCTTTTCATTTGTTTCAACGGTTGCTGCCCGATATCTCCCTCAAGTTCATGAGACTTTGCATTTAGAACCTCTATTGATTTTTGTCATGTAGCAGCATTTCCCTCCGACACTTGAACAGCCAAAAGCCCTGAATCCGTGAGAAAGGGATTCCCTGTTACCGAGTGCCGAACAAGACGAAACATTCCTTGTATCCCTGTCTGAACCACATCCTTTGGTCCTTTTGCTCTTTCAATCCCCCCAGGGTCTGTCTCCATGCATGCCACAGCCGACAGTCCACCTCTTGCGACCGACCTCGCGACGCATCCCCCCAACACATCCACAATACCTGCATCGCCGCTGTCGCTCACCCCCGCGCTCTCCGTGTCTCCAAATGACTCCAGCACCTCCACCTCCACCTCCCGACGCCTGAAGTCCAAATCATCCCTTTGGAGCTTAGGGAGCAGCAACAACGACGAAGAACCTGGCCCTGCTGAGCTGACCAGCGCCGGCCGAACATCCATCCTCCGCCGACTTTCTCCCGCCCTCGCGGCTCGCGTCAAGCTGCTGGACGGCAGTAATAAGTCCGCGGCGCAAAACCGGAATGCCAATGCAGTCGGTCGGATCCCTGAAGAGCACCTGAAGGAGCTTGACAATCTTCACCAAGACCTATCGATCAAGGTAAAGAGGAAAGGCCAGGCGTGGAGCCGTACCAACGTATCACCCGGACAAACGCAGGAGTTCAAGCGGAGCGCGTCGAACCAGCTCGAGCTACCCCACCACGATATCCTACAGGAGATTGCAGACGCGCAAAGAGAAGACCCGGAGTCATCCGAAGCAGTAGTGGACGGCCCCGAACTGCACATTCCGGCCCCCATTGTTGTTCCGGAGACTGCCCGGTCCGTCGAACACATCAGCCCACCCACGCCCATGTCTGTCGCAGAGCCGGTCCTCGCGCAGCTGCGCGCAGCCCCCATGCCGAACCCCCAACCTCCCAATGATGCTCAAGACGACCGGACCGATTTCGAAAAATATGTTGATGATACCGCACGAAGAGAGGAACAGTCCACGGAAGAGGAGTCCGCTCCGAAACCTCCTGCCAAAGACTCACCTCCCGCCGACGCCGTGCACTCGCGCTCTTCGTCCAACTCCAACTCCAACTCCCAGTCGTATTTCAACCCAATGGGTTTGCAGCGCGCAGACTCAATATACTCTTTCTCTCGCGCATCTTTCAGCAACCAGCTCTCGCAGCTGACCTCCATTCCTCTCCCACAACCCGCCTCGCTCGAAGCAAGCATTGAAAACATTTCCACGGCTTTGTCTGCAGTCCGGGCTTTGAACGGCGCCGCAGAGCAAATTCAGATCTGGATCAAGAAGGCCTCAGATGTGCTGAGCGGCTTGGATTCTGAAGACGATGTGGAATGGGCTGCGGCTGGTGGCCGGGAGGGGCTAGATGAGGTTGATAAAGCAATCACACGGTTCGAGTCCCTGGTCAATGTGTACGTTAGGGCTATTGAGAATGTCCAACTTCGAGACGACATTGCCAATGTGGACGTGGATAACTTGAAGACTATCGTGAGCCAGATGGAGAGCATTCTGCAAAACTGGGCTCAGATCAAAAAAAAGCTGAAAGGCGTAAAAGAACAAGTTGAACTGGCAATGGAGTGGGAAGAACTTTGGTCGAACGTTTTGGGCGATGTGGGCGTGGAAGTTGACAACTTGAGTGGGCTGATATTTGAGATGGAAGAGAAACGACATCAGGCGTTGATGGATACGACCGACACCAGTGGTGGCCTAGACATCAATGAGCTGGAGACGATCGTGGAAGAGTCCCCTACCAAGACACGCGGACATTCGCAGAACCGTCTGAGTATTGGACCTCTTTTGGCCTCGGCGTCTGATACCCCCGTTATCAAAACACCGCAGGACGATACGAGTCACTCTAACCTTATGGCTATCTTTGCACGCATGCAGCCATTGAAGGCATCGTTGGAGTTTTTGCCCATGCGACTATCAATGTTCCAGGGACGTGCTGAAACCATTTTCCCGAGTGCATGTGAGGAGATTGAGGACCGCCGAAATCGCTTGGAAAAGAGCTACAAAGTTCTTGAGACTGATGCTGAAGCTCTCTTGAAAGAGTTGGCAGAAGACAAGTGGATTCTGGTTTTCCGCAATGCTGGGGCTCAAGCGCAAAAGATGTTTCAATCGGTTGAACGCAGCATTGGAAAGCTACAAGAAGGGCTGGAAATCGGCATGCAGGTGCACAACCCGTCAACGCTGACCAAGCTCATTGAAAACTATGAGGCAAAGAAAATGCATTATGTTCCTGCTATTGAGCGCGTGGTCTCCATCATTCAAAAGGGTATCAACGACCGATTGACTGTCAATGGTGAGATTCTTCGTCTGCTATCCGACATGACATCCCGGACGGATGCCCTCAAAGCTAGCACTAAGGTAATGGACACATCACTCGAAGATGTGCACATTACCAAGGGCCACCAGCTACGAGACTCAATCTCCAGCATCCTCACCATGGACAGCCCAGCCACAGGCAGTGCCATCGAGACCCCAGGAAGCTCGCCTGCGTCGTCAGTCATCATGGCCGGCAACAATTACAAGCGCGCCTCAACGCCCATGGGCGGCTCAAGCCGTCGCGAAAGTTCAGTCGGAAGTGCCACAGCCCGCTCGACCATGCCCCCAAACCGTCGTTATTCCAGCTTGCCGCAGGCCACAGCGACTTACACCGGCCGAAAGTCCGGAATCCCCCAACCGACGGGAATCGTGTCTCCTACTCCATCCCACAGATCCTCAAGCTACTTCACACCGACTCCGGCTGCTCGTTCTCGTACACCAGCGCCGCCATCTACAATTCCCAATCGCCCACGCTGGAACGCTAGTACGAACTTGAATGACACTAGTTACAACTCGACATTACGGAAGTCCTCCGCACCACTCGCCCGGACACCCCGACCATTATCAGCATCTCCAATTCCCGGCAGTCTCCGATCAACCAGTCGTGTCTCGAGCCGCTTTGGTTCTCGGAGTCCCCATCGGAACGTGTCCTCTCCCACACCGCGGTCCACGCTCCTCGACCCACCACCGTACAGCCGGCTCAATCGACCAACAGGGATGTCAAACACACCTCGCACTCGTCAGAGCTTTGCCGGCCCGCCCACAGCTTTCAGTCGAAGTGTGTCAGGAGCCGCAGGCGGGATGGAGAGCCCAAGCAAATCGTCCCGACCAGGTACATCGCTCGGCCATTCCACCAACAGGCGATCCAGTCTCCTCCCGCTTCCTAAGCGAATGGAGAAGGAGCAGGCAACCCCGAAGCCAGTGGATACGCGTCCACGGTGGCGCTAATGACAACTCAGTTGTATAGTTCGCACCGTTTCCTTGGCTTCACCTCTCATGTCCTACAGCCCTCATAACCTTCTCTCTCCCTCTATCCTCCTTGCCTTCCGACTTCTATCTACACTTCTACGACCATGTTCTATCTACGTTCTATCTATGTTTTTTTACTTGTGCATTTACACCTCTTCCCCCTCAGTTCGATCTCGGTTTTCAAATCGGTGTTCAGTCAGTGTGAAGCGGAGCCATCATCTTGACAAGTCAGGTTTTGCGTGATATCCCTATTGTTTGCATGGTATGGTTTGAGCGTTGGGGGTCATCTATTTCCCAGTTATTTTCTCTTTTTGAGTCTCATTGATTACCATCCGCTTCTCTTCCCTGTGAATACATATGTATTATTCTTTGTAGTTTTACTTAGTTGTACCTTTGATCTTGAAAATGAAATTACTCGTTTTCAGACAAGTTATTATCATATGGGTTCATTATAGTACGTTCATAATTCGTAACAACACGATCCTATATACCCAAAACGCCCATTCTTCATATCTGAAACACGGATACGCGTCTCAAACTAAAACTGAAACTCGCCATTTCAATTTCCCAGCTCACGTCCGAAAATCAATGCATCCACCAAGTCCTCACTGTTCGCCAACCGCGCGGCCTTCGGAACCCGTCCGATAACGCTAAACCCTAGCTTCTCCCAGATACGGATAGAGGCCGGGTTATTAGCGAAAACCAGGTTGAAGACTGAGTATGTGTACCCCTATCAAAAGAGTTAGTCACGCATGGTCTATGCCCGATAGAGCAACGGCTGCCAATTGCAAATCCGGGGTGGTCAAGTCATACCAATCTCGGTGCAAATTCCAAGTAAGCTTCGCCCATAGCCTGTCCAACACCCTTGCCGCGTGCGGCGGTGGTAGCGAGGAAGCCTCCATTGGAGATGTGGGAGCAACGGCCTATTAGAGTTAGTATTATTTATTATTCCTACAGTTAGATGTTACTTCAGATCACATACCAGGATAGTTAGGCTTGATATAAAAAGTTCCTAAACAAACACTCTGCCAATCCCTCCCCTCTCTTAAGCCCTCACCCTCATCGTCCAGGATCGCCAAAGCCGCAAACGTCCCGAACCAATAGTCGGCGAATTGATCCAACGCCATCGGCTCCTCCATCGGGTACGTTCCGCCGCGGAGGATCTCCGCGGTGAGCTCCTCGTGCAGGAATTTGATCAGGTCTTTCGGGACTGTTTGCGGTCCTCCTGTGATGGGGTAGAGGGTAATTGGTGCCGAGGAGGACTTGGACAGGGTGACTTTCCTCGCTGTTAGGGTCGGCGCTGCATCTGTGTGTGCTTTTGGTGGGGGATTGCGGGTTGAGGGGTCTTCCAGAATGGAGGGCATGGTGAATAGGGAAGTTTTTTGGGATGTGTGGGTTGAGAAAGGGGTTGGGAATAAGTAATAAGGGTGATAGAAATCAATTGAGCAATTGTAAAGTTATTAAAGGGGATTTCACGATTGATATACCCTCTTCTCCATCTCCATATCGGCATCGGCAGCCGACTTTGCATGAGTCAGCTTGTCATTGGCAGGGCGTTCTCCACTGCAGTTGGAGTACATGGTTTTGCTTATCGTTGATCGTTCTTCTGCTATGTGCTAGAACATGATAGATGTATCTTAAACATAGGGCTGAAATTTCTTTTTGTGCATGGACGGGGTCATCTTTTCGTTAATGTTCCCGGACATGTGAAGCATGGGTGTCTCTCGGAGTTGTTCCGTACCTACAACACAAGGTTCTCAAACATTGTCATAGAAAGACCATACTCGATAAAATATATGTTGTATATACCTAAGATGTGGAACTGAATTCTCAAACCTGTCAAATCAAGTGAAAGCCTCGTCTCTTTTATTCCTACACCTAGTATATACATAGTGGCTGGTAGGGGGGTGTGAGATGCCTGCATCTCCCAGTATGACCCTACCAAGCACACCTCACTGCCCTTAGATCAAGCACTGTTTACTCGAGAATCAGTTTAGACTGACGGGGCAGTCGAGACCTCATTTTTGAGATTCATATCACCAACTCTCGGGGTGACAGTGTCAACCTCGGTCCAATGCGATCAATAGAGAACTCATTGACCTTGGCCCTCTCCTTCTCCCTCATTCTTCAGAGCCTGCATAAGCTCGAGCAACTGTCCAAGTTGCTGATCTACAGTTAAAACCAATGTTTAGCAATTTGATCAACCGAGACAGAGTCCGAACAACAGTCAAGAACATACCACTCATTTTATCCAACTTGCCCTGGTCCAGCTTATCTCCTGCCCATTGATCACCCTCCAACTTCTGCGCATATAGCTGCCACTCGGTCAAGAACCCAATCTATCATTGCCAATGTTAGCGACTGTATCAACAAGCCTTTCCTCTTCCGCCATGCCTCCGCTTCTCTTCAACTCGGTATAACCACATCAACAAGAACAAACGTACAATATGCAATGGGTTCTCCACACTCCGATGCGCACGGAACTCATTCTTCACGTAAGAATCGCCCAAGACGCGCATTTCCGGTTCGAGTTTGCGATGGACGCGTAGAATGCGCCGGTAAAGCTGTAGCGGCGGGAGGAGAGCGAGGGCCTCGCTGAGACTGGACTTCGAGCCGATCGAGGCCGGCGTGGCCATGAGTAAACGCTGAGCAATGCGCATCTTGAATGTTTGGGAAGCTAATTTCAAGGGAAGATTAGGACCTCGGGAAGATTGAGGAATGACATAATTCCGGGGATTTTCGAGGCAAAGGCGGCGAGGAGAACGCGCGAATCAACGGGTCGGGATGTCTCGGGATTGAAGATTTGGCTTGGATTTCCTTCTCTGCCATTTGCTGATATTTTTGATATTGGCTTCACGTTGCTTCACATTGAATATTGCACTTGAGTACATTGGTGCTTTTCTTTTTTGAAATTTGTGATCGCCTCAGGCCAAGATCGCGCATTCTGCAACATATAATCTCGAGATAACCCCACTATCTCTAAAGAAGAGTCGATAAACCTCGAATTTCTAAGAAGCGACTCTTCATTAAACATACACACCATGCTTCCCACGCCAGATACTTCACATGTGTCCTTTGACACCATCTACGAGCCATCCGAAGACTCATACCTCTTCCTAGACACATTGTCATCAGCATCCGAATCGAAATGGCTTTCTGAACGATTCCCAAAGAACCAAGAGGCATCACCACTAGTCGTCGAAGTAGGCACAGGCTCCGGCGTTGTGCTGGCTTTCACAGCCGCACAGTCTCAACAGATCTTCGGCCGACAGGATATTCTCACACTAGGCACTGATGTGAACCGCAATGCTTGCATCGCAACACGGAAGACCGCAACGACAGCCATCCAGGCAGAGCAACAGCCGTCTCCTCAATCAGTTCACATCTCTTCATTGACAGCCGATCTGTGTGCACCTCTTCGCCCTGGCAGTGTTGATGTCCTCCTCTTCAATCCACCTTATGTTCCAACTGAGGATCTACCGCGTCTGCCTTCTGCAGCGGAAAATGACCCTGCTGTGGCAGAGGCCATGTCTCGCTCTGCCAAGTTTGATAATGACTCGTACTTTTTGTCCTTGACGTATGCAGGCGGAGCGGACGGTATGGAAACGACGGATAGGCTGCTTGATGCTATTCCGGGTGTGCTATCTGTGCGTGGTGTGGCATATGTCTTGCTCTGCAAGCAGAATCGACCTGATCAGGTTATGGAGCGTATCCGTGGATGGGGCGGTTGGCAGGTTGAGACGGCGGGGTCAAGTGGGATGCAGGCTGGGTGGGAGAAATTGATTATTGTGAGGATATGGAGAGAGGATAGCTCATGATGAGTACATAGATAATCGAACAATGATGATACCATTTGTGAACTGATCAACAAGAAATAAGATACATACACACCCAGCAATTGACTGCTAGGTAATTCGCAATTGTGAAAGTAATCATGCCCATTCCCACTCGACGTAGCGTTCATAGCCAGATGCGCCGGATGCCTCGAGGATATCAAACACCTCCTGGGGGGCGTTCTTTCCAGGTCGCAATGGCCAATGGGCCACGATTGTGTTGTTGCCCCTCATCTTCAACCCATATTTGCTTGTGAGTGTGTCAAATCCTGTGGACCGTTTGTAAGATTCGAACAATTTACTGACATTGCAGAAAAAAGAGCTTGCCCTCTTATTTCTCATTTGATCCGCGTCATTTTCATCGCTTGTCTCGGGTTCCGGGAGGTATTTCGCAGCACGAGCGACGTCCTGGTCAAGTGTGTCCCTACTCCACATATCTTCAATGTCACAGACAAAGAGTACAAGAAGCATGGCCTTTGGGTTTAGAATCTTAGGCTTCAGGAGTGGGCTAAATATGGCGAGGGTGGCGTCGATCCCAAGCACGTCTTTTTCTGCAGTTATGTATGTCTATATCGAATTAGTATTGTGTTTTAAACATAATTGAAATCGAAATTAGAGGGGCAGGGGAGGTTCAGGTGATTAGATTACCTCAATTCTGTCAAATCCTGAATGTCCGGGTTGCCGTTTGATGTATCCCGGTAGACTCAGTGGATCGATAGAAAGAAGTCGAATGTTAACATCCTGCTGCGAAAGTTGACGACAGAAAGCCAAGAGAGTCTCTCGGAGGTAGATGAATAGCCTACCGTACAGATCATTCTTCGCAGGATAATTCGCAGTGTACGATCCAGTGCATACATCAAGGGGGCTCCAGCTGATGCGCGGATCTGCAGAGTGTGGCATAGGCCAAGAATGACCAGCACAGAAAATCGCCCTAATTGTATTAGTGGCCTGGTGAGTACAACGAGGGGTTGGAGAAACTAACGGGTTAGGAGTTTTAAATTCTTTGCGTGAGCACCCAAAAGGCAACAATATTCCATCGCGGCGGAACTTCATCGTGGCGACACGCCAATATCGAGGCTGTGCGTACAGAACCCTATGGAGTTCATCTACTCTCTTGTCTGACAACGTGACCTCTTGTCGATTGCGGGTAGCTTGGGTGTGAGGCAAATGATCAGGATACTGAAGAGTATTTCGAAGACGTTCCCACTCATCTCTCAGAAGCATTAAATGTAAGGATGCTTTGTTCTTTTTCCAGACTCGTTTGAAAATGCGACGACGACATTTCTGTGCGGCTTCGGAGCAGACTTCCTCAATCAATGGCAGGAGCTTGACTCGAAGTGCTGTGAGAAAAGACTCGGGTATCAAAGCTGAATACCATAGGTGAATCATGATTGGGACGGCCTCCTCTGGCGGAAAATGGAAAGCCGTCAAAAGAAGAATGATATTCTGTTCGAACATCCCAGGTTGCATGCCACTCATCACCATTTCACAATGCCCCGAATATGTATCTGGCAAATGAGCGATTGTTTCGACTACGTTTCGGATATCGTGTGATGCTATCACAAATTGTATTAGTTGAAGGAACTTGTTGGAGTGCAGACAGTCTCTTACATATGAGAAGAACACGCATGTTGGGAGATGGATCCTGGCCTTCATTTGCATCCAGTTTCAGCAAATCCAATGCTGGCATGCTTCCCCACCATGATATTTTGCCAATATTTGGATTCAGTTCAGACGGATCTCGTTCTTCGAAGAAAGTTGGATCTCGATCTTCTGTATGCCAGTCTGGCTTCCATGTCTCCTGCGCTAGAGCATTGTTACAATCCTCTTTGTGCGTGGGCCAATGTTCTTTTTGGCACTCTTTGCTGCAGTACTGTTTTGATTTTGTTAGGACACGATGCAGGAATTTGAGGAGATCAAAGTGTTGAAGACTTACCACGACTAGGTAGCAGCGGCCGCATGCGTTGTTTGCCTTATTGGGACATGGCGAGCTTTTGTTATTGGCACAGGATACGGGATTGAGAAACTTATCGAAGCTTGACATGGTGAGGTATGGATCTCTGCAAGGTTGATGAAACTTGAGCACCAACTGAGGATTGAAATGCTGAAGCAAAAGAAGAAGGATGAACGAAGAACAAGAGAGACAGACGAAGAAAGACGAACGGAAGAAAGAATAACAGAAGTCTCAGGAATGGCTTCGACCGTGAATTACCGCCTCGAATAATGCTGTGACAATATACTGTCTAGGCTATTATGGTCACCGCCATCACAACGCGACCTCTGACCTGCTTCTATACTTACGCAAATGCAACCATCGGCTCAAGTCACCTCTCAAATGGAAGTGAGATTAAGCTGATCATTCTAATAAGGCCTTGATAGTTTGCTACAGGAACGACTATTTATCTAAAGATGACAGAGTGGCGCCAAAGACTATACGCATCCCCTCATTGATGCTGGGTCAACTATGCAATTGACTAGATGGTGGGCTTAGTTGGGTTGATTCTTTGCCTGTGCTGTCTTATAATATGTTTTTTGCAGATTGACTGACTCTTAATAAATGCATTTGGCCCCGAGGCTCTCTTTCTGGCTGCTATGACAGTTTTCAACGGTTTAGCAGGAGTTATAGATATGATGCTCTGAAGGTCTCTTTAGGGCTGTGTACTGATTACACCTATTTGAATATGTGATTCATTCACCGTCTCTCGACACCCGGGCCATATCTTCTCCCCATGTAATCGGAAGGGCTGCGTATCATCTTGGACAGATAAACACAGCTAGCCGTTAGTTGCTTTTACTACCAGTCATTTTATAAACCCCTGATTTGATCTCTCCTATTTCTCTTCTAAACTCTTTCTCGTCCAAAGTTATTCTGCTTAACTACTCATCTCACTATGGTAACCACCACGAGGTCGCCTCTTCCACTGACGACAGCCTTTACACCGGCTATTGAATGCCTCACGGATTTCTGGTTATTGAATTCCCTTCACAAAGCTTCCAGTTCATTTTGGGCAAATTTAGGTCCTGCAAATCCCCAAAAATGTCTTGCATCAGGCTAGTCCCCAACGACATACTATTCACCCGGGGTCATTTGTCCTAGTAGTTAGGTGATGGCCGGAAATTATACGAGCGCCGGGGAGACTACGGATATGTTGCCCTGTTTACCAATAAGCACTTGGCACTACTAAAATCAGGATAGCGGGGAAAATGGAATATGTACTGATATGACGCTACTATAGACCAAGTAGCTGGACATTTACTACTCGAGCTTGTTGTGAAGACAATTACTGGCCCGTTTTCGAGGCTTGTGATCATAGTGCTACTGTCGACATGAACTGGACATATAAGCACACAAAAACAGTCGGTATTACAAACCCCACTTCTGCTTCTGTCATATCGGGAGTTGATGGTTGGAACGCATATGGTGTTGAGCTCCGTTGGAAGTCCACTGACCTTACTTCGGCCCCGGTTACGACGTTTGTTTCAATCATCACTTCAGCAGTTGTAAAATCGACAACGACACCGACTCTAGAGTCAGAAGAGAAATCTCCGGGATTTTCAACAGGTGCCAAAGCAGGTATGGGCGTTAGTGTTGCATTAGGTGTTATCTTGGGCTTTCTGGGGATTGGATTTTGGATTCTTCATAGACGAAAACGCCGAGGGAAAGATGGAGGAAAGGAACCATCTGAGCTCGCTGAGACTCAAAGCATTACTCTGCGGCACGCAATTCATGAGTTAGAGTCCAATCCTGTCTTTGAGAAGGATAGCGTTCGAGGGGCACGCTCACAATCGAGATAACCAGTTGAGCTAGAAGGGCCAAGTGCGAGATTAGTGGATTTGGATGCATCGCATGATCCTATTCTACCATTGTAATTTAGATGTTTGGAGTATAAATGTACTTAATGATAATTAGCAAATTGAGAATGCTAAACACATAACCATTTAGCCGCCTTTGGTAGAAAACAGTGACACATGAGAAATAATGCTAGATAGCGTCTGTCATTGTATGTATTGACTTTGTTAGTGAGGGCTTGATTTTCGCAATATGCAAATCATAGTCTGTTTAGACTAGTTTCCTAAAGAGAAAGATAACACTCAGCTTGTGAAATATGTTATACGCGTGATAGATGAAACATCGTGGTACTATTTTATTGGTTTATATATACCTCATATGCACAATATCGGCCTTACAGGCTAAACAGGCTAAACACATACTATTGACACCCACAAAACCCGACGTTTTAGACGAAATCAGCTAAATGTCGCTTCGGTGCTCTGTAGAATACGACCACAAGCCATAGATGTGGGTCGCCAAACCATTTTCCTAATGCGGACCTACTTTTACCTAGAGCTATATCATCCTATTAGTTACAAAATTTTGGCTATTCCATATACATCGTCAACAATGTAAACGGTTCCCTCTCCGAATGCGAAGTCTCCACTGTCTCCTTTTGAGAATAAACGGCCTGCAAACTTTGACAATCGGCGAAATACCTTACTCCATAGTCCCCACAAGTTAGATGAGTCCCCACGTACCCACGTGGGATGTCACAGATCAGCTGATCCCATACAACATAGCACCATGATTTCTTTTCCTTCAACATGTATCTCACTAATTCTTTCGATATTCCCATTTCTAGTAGACCACGTAGACCAAAATACCCTGTAGACCCCTTCTTACATGTGAAAATTCCCTAACAGAGCGTGGGCAGATCGAGGACTGATCGAGAACTGATCGACGATCGAAATCCCCCCTATCCGGCCCCCACATCAGTAAGACAAAATGAGATTGAGCCGGGGACGTTGAATGAGTTCTCCGTAAAGAACGCTCAATATACTATCCACTCCAACATACTCCGTACGGAGTACACGTATACAACATAGGGGTGATTATCATACTCATTGAGATCGGCAGTGTCGTGCTCTGGCCCGGTCAGCATAGTGTTCCATGTATACGGAGCACGGAGTACTAACGAAGATCATGGGAAAATAATTGTGGATTATTGGAGATATTTACTGATTTTTTACAGAATAACCGAAAAATAAAGGCAAAGGTTATCTTTGGGATATCATATCGTCTGACACGCTAGAGCTGGTAGTCCTGTCGCCCAATCACAAAAATGAAAAATCAGATCCAAACCAACTAATAGATCGATGCCTGGAGATATACTCCGTAACTCCATATGTAGTTATGTGATTCCCATACCTATGGTGTATGTACTTGTCTCCGGATGGAGTATACAGAAAGACGGTGGGAAGAACATACGTCAGCAGTGCTTCGGACTGCGGACTCCGTACCTCATACTCCGTAGATATCACCCAATTTTGCAAATATTCCAAATCCAGATACTTTTCTTCCCAAGTCGGATTTCGGTAATCATAAACCCAAACATCTTGATCGAGCTGCATACACGGGAGGATTCGCACTCGGGAACCCCTGAAATAGAAGGTCCTTATCAGCCACCAACCACTATAAAAGCCTTGGCAGAACTGGACCTGAGAAACGTTTAACCGGAAACAGTCTACCGTGACAATCCTGGTCCAAAGTGCTGGATCAACAGACTCCAATCCCTCTAGCTAGAAAGGGACTACGGTGACAGCCTTATTGATCCAAATGGTTCGGGACGCTGTCCCGGTATATTCTTTAAAATACGAAACCTTTAAGAAACATCTTGGCAAACGTCTCATCAGGCGCGGAAAGAACGGAAGGAACGGGTGAATAACGGGAATGACGGGAATGACGGAAAGCGTCTGCCTCGTGGGATAATAATTTTGTAGCATTGGCTGAAGGCTATTGGGAGAATTAGGATTAGGATTGGATATTGAGTATCCGTACTCCGTTGATGCTCACGTCTTAATATTATTCTCAAACAAACCCACTTCCGCTCACTTGCAGCTCCTATGGTTCCACCGAGATAGGCTTTTTTCATGTCTTAAATCCTCTCGCCCTGTACGGAGTATACGCAGATCACTAGAGCGGAAACCGGCGATCACAAGCGGCTGCAATAAACCATGTGGCCTAATTACCTACCTATTTGGGCAACTCGTGGCCTCTGAGTGTGATTTTACGTCTCATTTGACCAGCGAGATTTTGATATTGGGGTCGCTAGTAAGTTAGGAGAATATTTCCGAGAGTAAGCCCTGAATATGGGTGTTTCAAGGCGAGAACTCCGAAGCCAAATAGTGCATATATCTAAGGTACTTTTTAATTGCATGTCTCAGCCTTGATCGTCAATGTCGGATCCGTTGTACGAAGCCGAGTCTTGGGAGTTCAGCAGAAAAAGGGAAGACGCTAGAACACACTTAAAATTATAAGACATGTACAGACTAGCCTTGAACCTTCGTGAGAGTTAAATACGCCTACGACGTACGTGTTCATAAAATTATGTTGTTTGATATCTGTTTCATTAATTTTGTGACAAAGGTCAAGCTGATTCCTTTCTAAGCCTCCCTTGGCATACAGCCACTGTCTCACACTCACATGAGCCGGAATCATGCATTGGAGGACGAAGGGAACAAAGGTGGATCGGATCACAGCCATCTCGTATGTATCGTTCTGTCGGGTTGTGTCTCAGTACTTTTGACAGCTATTGTTCAGCTACGGAGTACTGTTTCTGCCAAAGCCTTAAAACTCCGAGCACACGATATTGAACAGCACAAATTCAGAGTGGGGGGAAAATTTCCCCGGTAAAATTGCTTGAATTTTTTTCAGTATGTCACCCACCATCCAAATCGGGACCCCTGGCCTGGGTAGTAGAAAAAAAAAGGAACAACAGATTGTATCCCATATGATGCAAAATCAAACCGAATTTCGAAGACAGAAACAAACGCCGGGTTGTTCTCTCAGAAGAAAACAGAAAATCTAGAATCCACGACCGCGACCACGACCGCGGGGGGGACCTCCGCGCCCTCCACGGCCTCGTGGTCCGCCACGGCCACCACCGCGACCACGGTCTGTCTCCTTGCGCGCCTTGTTCTTGGGCTTGGGTGCGTCATCGACGAGGAGGGTATCAAGGGGAAGGCTGTCGGGGAGAATGTAATAGCGAATCGTGGAACCGCGGATGTTGATAGTGTCGAGAGAAATGGTATCACGGCCCTTGGGGGTCATCTTGACAGCCCGGAGAGAGGTGTTCATCTGAGGAGAGACGGACACAATAGTGCCGTGAAGGATTGTGCCTAGATGAGGGACTCAAGTTAGAGAGCGCAGTTCTTTCGCCTATTTCGAGGATGGCATATTCGGGGGAGGTTAGGTTGGGGTTGGCGGGGATTGCGCGGAGAGTCCTTACCATTCTTCAGCTCAACGGTCACCGTCTCATTGGCGCATTTCATCAAAAAGCTAGAAGGATCATTAGATGTCAGCCGGAGTGGGTTTGATGGGTGCTTGGTGCGTCGAGCGGAGCTGGTGATTGCCGCGCACAATGAAGGTGATCACATACCGGACGAGTTTCATGGTGAATCAGTAAGCTGCAAGCTGAGGACGGTCTCAATTTAATAAACTGTCAAGACACCAGCAGATAGCTAGGGATTGTGGGGACAAAAAGTCGTGTTGATTTTGATGATGCTGTTGGACCACAGAGGCAGAGAAGATCTGATCAGGTGAGATAGGTCACGTGATTCAGATGTCACTTGAAGTTGTGATTGTCGACATATTCAATCTTCTCTGCAATAAGCAACTTATGTTAGACATATTTATTGGATTAACGAAAATAATACAGCAATAGGAGATTTACCAGTATTTTTCATCTTCGACTAGTCCTGATTGTCTGTGACATGCTCAACCCAATCTTCCACCAGTCCAAGTGTTGAGAGGTTCTACTCCGTAGGCTAACTAAGCAATTGACCATTGATCCTTCGGAGCAGGCATTGTGACAATTTTCTCGTACCCGGAAACTCCCATGAGCTTCAACGGCTCTCATGCGCTCATAGTTGATATGTAGGTGAGCGGTGTGTCAACGTTGCATGGTATCTCATGGGATCAACGAGCGATCAACAGAGATGCTATGTTTGTTTTCTCCTAATATGCCTCAGTTATTGACCTGAATTTGGGCATAGTAACATGCACAGCGGAGCATATGCGCAGCCCCGGCTGTCCCCATCACTTCACCTCTCAATCATGTTGTTTTAGAGAAATCCAGCAACTCCCAAACTGAATGGGTGCGCCAAGGCTTGGTATATGATTGATTTCAAATCAATTCTTCTCTTGTTGGCAAAATGGCCAACAGCGTCTCGGTAGACCTGCAATTTAAGCTAGTAGAATGGGATAGGAATGGCCAATTGTTTCATCCAATAGCACAGGCTGAATACGACATCTCTAACCTACATAGTACATAAATGCGAGTAAGTCGTACTGAATATTACAACCTTGTAAAAGTAGATGAGAATATCCAAATGTAAATAGCCCCCAACCTAGACGGATATAGCAAAGGCAACCGAATCAACGTAAACTAGGGCTGCATGGAAGGGGTTTGATCAGGCCGTTCCTAGCCAAATTCCGTCATCACATATAACAGCGTTAGTCCCAAATCCAAGATATTAAAAGAAATTAAAGAAATTAAAGATCGTCGTATGTCAAGACTTTAAAAAAAGGGTTCGGAAGATGGCCTTATTCCCTACTCCGTTCTCCGTACTCCGTAATCGGCCACGAGGCACAAATGATCAACCGTGCATTAGTAGAAACCACACATGTCTTGAATCAAAGTGATACAACTGCGGATCCCCTGTGGAGTGAGTCGATCAAGGCCGTGCCTGAGCCTAGGGGCGATTGGATTTTTGACACCCCCGTCCGGAAGTATGTAGCT